AATGTTGCATTCATGAAAATCGAGTGATTAAAACTGGGCAGTTTTTCAACATGATAATCGATGTTTGATCACGAGCCATACATCTGAATCAAAACAAAATCAATGTCTTGCAATATCTCCAGACTTGAACACTCTACAAGTGTCTAGAAATATACAATGAAAAGGCTCAGTGCTGTTATTTTCTCCAGGAGGCCGGTGTCTATAATATTTAGGTCCAAACTCCACACTATAATTACACTACGTGTTTAAAACAACAACAACAAAAATTGTGTTAAAATAAAACTTTACAGTGCCCCCATTTGTTCAGGCTCAAAATATCATTCATAGTATGTGTAAAAAAACAAATAAACATTATTTTTACATGAAGGGTGCCAGTATGTGTTTTTTTTTTGGACTTCAATATTGTACAGTATGTGTGCCAATACCTAAATAGATTTAAGGTGTCCGTTGTTGCCTTCAGTTAAAAACACTAGTATACATAGTTGCATTGAAGTATTACAAAGCATCTCGGTTGGAAAGGTCACTTATTCCAGCAGAAATCCCAGTCAATCTTATTTCTGTAAAGCAGAGTGCTCTAAAGGCTTATCTACTCTTCAATGAAAAATGAAGGAATAACGGCGCTTGCTGAATGTCACCCGAGCTTGGCGGATTTGTGCAATATCTTCCCGGCATGAAGCTAATTCCTTCTTTATTGTTTGCTGCCCCAGCTTCTGAAACTTGTGTTTCAATAATATTGTCTTAAGGAAAGCTTTAATATTAGCTTATTGCAAAAGGCAGTTTGGAATCTAAAGAAGTGTCTGTACACATATTTGGCTCCGAATCAACATGAAGCATTTAATTCCGAGACTCTTTTTTACTTCAGATATATTGTGTGTGGAATATGGTGGTTTGTTATGCCAATCACAAAATGGTAAATCCACCACTTATCGAGGTCATGGTATTAAATGGGAGGCTAAAATCTAATATCTATCAGTAACTTGACAATGAATCGTTTCAGGTTGCGCAACGCAATGCATCAAATAATGAGGCCTCACTGTTATACATCACACATTACGTTTCAGTTTCGTAATGCTCTACAGCAGCGGTCACCGAGCCTGTTCCTGGAGATCTACCTTCCTGAAGACGTTAGCTCCAACCATAATCGTGCCCACCCGACCATCTATTCACAGCCTTAAGAAGTTCTAGATCGATTAAAACAGGCTTGTTAGATTTTGGTTGGAGATTAAACTCTACAGGGTTTCCTCCAAATACCAAAGATGGTAAACAGTAAATAAATAAGACGTAAATGACGAAAATAAAACACTATGGTTTTTTTTTGTCTGTGCTTTTGTGCTCGTAACTTGTACTTTGAATGGAAAATGTGTGCTTACTTGTATCATGTGTTATACCCGTGGCCAGGATCCAAACTCTGTTCCCTGTCAATCACAAGGACACTAGCCAATCCTGGGCAATTATGAGCACATATACGTAGAAGAGGACAGATAGCACCAATCTCGGATGATACGGTTGGCTTGCTTCACATGTCTCAAAGGAAGCACGCGTCAGACTGCACCATCCCTGGTGGGTACGATTCTGTCTGGTGAGCTGGCAAGGTTGGTGGGAATTGGTAGTTGAACGATTTAGGGAGAAAAGGGGTCGGGGAAAAATGACACAGGGGCTTAGCCATGCTAGCTCATTTATTCCAGCCATCCCTGATGTAGACACATACAGTACAGCATGTAATATGAATGCTGGTTGCCTAGGCAGACTCTTGTATGTGTGTAGCATGATGTCTGAGATGTCTGTGCTTACGTGTGTATTTTTCTGAAAATTGGCACGGTCCAAAATCTGAACTCTCATACGGAGCTCATCATTTTCTCACCGGTATAGATAGTAGAAGTGCATACGAACTCTTGGGGAAGGTTCACCAAGTTCAACATTATGTCAAATTCTCTCTTTCCAGTAAAGCCCACTGACAGAAACTTACATTGAGATTACACCATCCACATCCTGCTCTAGACTGCTGACCTTTTTAGATTCTATAGAAAACTTATTTTGCGGTTACAGCACTTTTTTCCTGCTCGTGCCCACAACAATCTATCGTACACATTTTGCACACAAAGGCGTGTCTCTTTCCTTTGAACAAAAATATATCGTTGTTGGCTTGGGATATAACAGAAACTACAGGACCTGGTGGCAGGTATCATTTAAATAGAGGGAATCTTGACTTGCAAAGAATGTTGCGTTTTACCTGCCACTAATGCAAACCTTGCCTGATTAAATATGATTTCACAAGGGTACACGACGGAGTCTGAGGTTTCTGGAGGATCGGGTAATTAAAATAGAGAAAAGAAAAACATTGCAAAACTATGACATATGCTGACGTGCGACAGAGGAAACATATGTCACAAGGTTTGTAACCTTTCCTTTCACACCAGAGAACAAACCTCTAAATGAGCGAAGTTGGGATTGTACAATACTTGTTGGGGGGGGGGAATCCTTCTTTGAAATAGTTCAAAGAGCTAGATTTTAAAAATATTTTCCTTTATGGCAAATAATTATAGAAGCTCTTTAGTGTGATTCTTTGTTCTCAGTTACATTTGATTAGCTGGTTTGAAAAGGACGCAGAGAACTCTAATCTGCGAATCGACTCTCGGAGATCATGGGGATTTTCAAAGGAACAACACAGGAACGTTGCTGAGAGTGAGAAACTGTCATTCTTTAGCACCTACTTATTCCACATCAAGGAGGAGAAAATAAACAGAGGCTTATCTCCTTCTGTTGTAGACCGTGGTTTTACATCTCGGATGTAAAGTAAAATCAAAGAGTCAAACCTGCGTGGTGCGTTGAGAAGGCTACAAAAACCTCATGCTGAGCAGCTGGAGACAGAACATGAAAAGATTCATGTGGGCAATCTGTCAAAGGAAAATCTTCTCAGCTTTAGTTACTTTTCTCACAAATCAGTCTTGAAAAGTTAAATGATTATGATTGCAGCCATGACTGCTGTATGTAAAGAATAAAACACTATGGGATGTGTTGTCATTGGAAAGTAATCACTAACGGGGTTATGTGACGTGGCCTAAAGCAAAGAGTCACTATTACCATCCTGAAGTCGATTTGTTTCCCCAGTGACAGCACATCATCATGAAATTCTTTTATTCCTCTCATACCGCAGCAATTTGTCAACCATTTTTGCGACACAGTAAACAGTCATTAACTCATCAGCCTTTATTTCTCTCTCTCTTTCTCTCTCATTTGAGTTTCTAAGACAAAAAAATGAAGCTTGATATATTACCAAGAAAACCCAAAGCCTTTCCATTCTGAAGACTTTCCCATGGTGAAAAATCACATGACACGCCTTGACTCAAATCTGCGGAAAATCTGCAATAATTTTGAAAGATTTTTGAAGTGATGCTTCACAGTGATGTTTCTTGGTTGACCTTTTAGCTGTACTCATGTTTGACACACGTGAATAGAGGAGGGATTTGGCCTAAATCTGTAGAAAATCGGGAATGATTTTTAAAAATTGCAAGCTCCTCCGAATATTACAGAGTTTGTTTGATTGTTTGAGTTCATTTCTGTGATCATAGAATTGTGAAATCTTAGAGGGACTGAATGATAGGACAGTGGTAGCTCACCTGCCACTGCTGGGCAACTGATCAAGACTTTTAACCCTCAACTGCTCAGTTATATAAAAAAAATAAAAAATGTAAGTCGCTCTGGATAAGGGCTTCTGCCAAAGGTTATAAATGTAACTGTAATATAAATATGCAGCCTGACCAATCAGAATCAAGAATTCAATAACACTGTGGTATAATATCAACACGTCTAGTGGTTGTAATAACAACCACTAGACGTGAAAATTTTCCCTGAAAATACATATGAATATCATTTTCATAACTATATAAGTGTCTGATAAATTACGTCAACCAAAGTGTCATGAAGTGTTAATGACATTCTGATGCTCTATCTTGACTAGAGAACACCTTGACGCTGATTGCCTGGAGGCAGTGGAGACCTGATTTCCATCATCTTGAACTGCTGTATCATCAGCTCTAAAGTTTGCAGACATCTTGTTTTGCGTGTTGGCAATCTGATTGATCATGCCTCCATGCTGAAGCGCAGTGACCTGCCAAGGTAAACAATTACCTCCCTATCAATGACCTGTCATGTAGCACATCCATCTCACCAAGCCTCATTTTCCCATGCCTAGTGAAAACAAATAGAATATAGTCTGGGGTTTGGTGTCAGGGAAGAACACGTCGCTTCAGAGACGTCACCTGGGAACCAAACAGGCAATTAAAGCTCTGAATGGCTTTATTGTAGTCTTTATTTTAGTGTCTTGATTTTTTAAAAGCACTCATATTGTGATCTCACACGCCCCAACTCAACAGTAGTTTATCATTTCATACCACAACATCTAATTGGTCAGAATGTGTTGACTAATTTTCTATAACTGGTCGAAAATGACGTAATTCTAATTTCCTCTTCCAAGGTAAGCATAATAACAATAATAATTACGATAATAATAATAACCACAATAATATGATTTAATAAAATACTTGATTATTTTTATGGTGTAGCTTTCTGTAAGGAGATGTTTATTTAACACGTATGGAAGGAGCCTCCAGTGTCAGTGCGTTGTAACAGTGAGTAAGTTTTCCACCACAGGAAGGTCTTCAGGACAGACAGCGTTACTCTTCAAAGAAAGAAGTTAAAAATAGAGGCTGCTAAGGGAACAACTTTTTATAGCATAAATATTACTCTCTGTCCATTTTCCATCCTACATGGGGTCGCAGGGAAGCCTGGAGCCTATCCCAGAGTACTCTGGACACAAGGTGGGGGACACCCTGGATTGAGGTGCCAACTCATCAGAGTGCACAATCACACACACATTCACACAATATGAACAATTTGTAATGCCGGTCAGCCTACAATGCATGCCTTTGGACTGGGGGAGGACACCGGAGTACCCAGAGGAAACTCCCGAAGAAGGCAAATATGCAAACTCCACTCACACAGGGCAGAGGCGGGATTCAAACCCCCAACTCTGGAGGTGCGAGGTGAATGTGCTAACCACTAAACCACTATGCAGTCGTCAGCATTCGTTTTCTGCTGTAGAAGATGAATAAAGCACTCTGGGATGTGCTGTTATAGTATAATAATCCACTTTACAATGGTAACACATCACGCTACAAGGTCATTGATTATGTTCCTATAACAGCACACCTCATTGTGTTATGTTCCTTGCTTAAACTGATGTTTATGTAAGCTCTAGAAACACTAAAGTGACTACGCCAAACTTGCAAGGTTACCACCAATGACAGCAGATTTTGAGGGTTGATAATAACACGCTAAGTGGGTTATAAATTGGGGGAAAACACAGCTCTTTGCTCTGTTGTTGGCCCAAAGATAGCGTTTCTTATCAAAGGGAAGGGCATACACTCCCCGAAGCCCAAGACGAATGAGCTCCAGTCAAGCATGCACTGTTTGACCAGAGCAACTTGAAGGCCATGATAAATGGCTGTGTCACTGTGTGGTTAACCAGTTTTGCCCTGAGATTACATATGCATGGAGACTACGGTGTAGGCCGAGCCTTAGTATCGCTATCATCATCTTCTTCCCAAGGCCCTTTCTCTCTCTCTCTCTCTCTCTCTCTCTCTCTCTCTCTCTCTCGAAAGAAACAAACCCTGATGGTGTGATAGGAACTATTCAAACAATGATAAATGCACAATATCTGTACAAATTGCTTGGTATCTGAAAGGGTATTCAGGACTACTTGATGACTTCTTCCTTCTACTATGGTCATTTTATCTTTTCTGCTGGCTTTGAGAGACCTTTCTTGAATGCCGGCCGGCCACTGATTAAGCTCAAAAGCTTGTTAGGCTTGATAAGAGATGAAGCCATCATCATCTAAAGGGCCATTGGGAAGGAAGAGGATGCACTTTGTGGCAAACAATGATAAATCTGTTCATCTTCAACAGAAATCCAAGATGGTTTGATGATCTTTCTTTTCAATCTTTCGTGAGTGCCAGGCCACTGCATTCTAAACAGCTCGATAAGAGTACGAAAGAGCTGCTGAGAACGATCAGAGCCGGGTCAGAAGAGGCTGCGTCCCTGTTTAAGAGTTTAAAGAGGTTTCGGCTCTTGTTCCTTGACTTCGAACTCCTTCAGATATGAAGTGGCGAAAAGAAAAAAACTGCAGTAATGAAGACTGAAAAACAGCGTCGAACACATTGTGTGTCTTATCATCTGCCTTTCCACAACATGCCAAGCAATGACAGATGATAAGTGTTGTTTGGCAGCATTCAGTGTAACAGAATAATGAACTAATTAATTACTACAAGAGCTCCTTCAACGCAGAGGCCTCCTACAGCGTGTACACATCATTCCTCTCTCATAACTTGTTCTGACAGTTCAACACGTTTCCTGCAACACACATTTATCTTTATTTGAGAATTTGGGCAAACGGTTTGATACAACGTAAGAAACGTAACAATTCTTTAGCTAGTCTGGTGATAATTTATATGTGACGGATGCTCTGGGAAGTAATTAAGCATTTCATTGTGTTGGTGCAGAGTTTGGAGGTTTATGATTAATTAAATGTTGAAAAGAAAAAACCTTTAACTTGGCATGTACGAGTCATATTGTGTGCAAGTGCACTTTGACTTTGTTGTGCCAGTTGTTATTGTGACTTACTGGATGTATACTTACAGTCCCGTCCAAAACTATTGGAACGACAAGGCAGATTCAATTGACTGTGCTATACATCAAAGATATTTGGGTTTGAGATCAATGCCTGCTCAATTGGGATAAGGTCTCGTGATTGGCTTGGCCAGTCTGAAACCTTTCACAATTTCCTCCCTGATAAAGTTTGCTGAGCTGGCAGTGTGTTTGAGATCATTGTCTTGCTGCATGATGAAGTTCCTCCTAATTAATTTGGATGCATTTCTCAGTAAATTGGCAGACAAAATGTCTGACTTCATTCTGCTGCCACATCATCAATAAAGATTAGTGAGCCTGTTCCAGAAGAAACCATACAGGCCCAAGCCATGACACTAACTCCACCATGCTTCACTGTTGAGCTAGCATGTTTTGGATCATGAGCAGATCCTTTCTTTCTCCACACTTTCACCTTCCATCACTTTGGTACAGGTTAATCTTAGTTCCAGAACTTTTGTGGCTCATCTCTGTATTTCTATGTAAATCTGTAGTATGGTCTCTATATTCCTACTCTCACAGGATATATACGCAGCAAGTATTAGTATATACTTTCTGGGCATGCGGTGATAGGAAATTAATCAACGATCTGGTGGTGTGATGCGACCTGGCATGAAGTGGAGTTACTGTTACCGCCCCAAAGTTGATAACTTTCCAATAACAATATGTCCCAAAGCATCTTATTCGTCTTCTACGACAGAAATTTGCCATCGATTACAATTTTTTTATTTATTACAAAAACCACACAGCGTGCTTTTTATCCATTTATAGTCACACTCAATGCTGTGGAACGTCCGTGAAACAAGTTAGTTCCTGATATCCAGCTTTAAACAGGATAGTAACTCTTTTCTTCCACTCTTTTTTATGATTAATATGAAAAAAAAACTTGCAGCTTCAAAGCGTTATTACTATAGACACAATATCATATTACTCCACGCACATTAATATAGAACCTGTGATTTGGATTACAGCTGGTACTGTCAGAGCTGATGTTATAGAAAAACAAATCGACATTTCTTTCTCACCAATCAAATACAGAAATGCTTACGCGAAACCATGATAAATTTATAATAACAGATGTATACGTGCATTTCTGTCCAATTTCAAAGGATCATCGTGAATATACAGTATAAAACTCTAATTCATTTTCAAAGTCAGTGTTGACATGATCTTATGAGAGGTTTGTTTGTGTATGTGTGTGTGTGTGTGTGTGTGTGTGTGTGTGTAATAGTTTATGAGCAAGCCCATTTCTTCTAAGCAGCATGCCTTTTTTTTTTTTACCATAGATTGCAGCTGCTGGTGCTCGAGGCTTCTTGTAAATACGTTCCTGTCCTTATAGTCATTCCTATCAACAATACATTTATTCTGTGTGGCGGAAAAAAAGGCTTTCATTGATATTCATTGAGGTGGTTAGCAGTGGCAAACTTTTGCTTCACCGATTTCACAGCAGTGTGATTATGAATTCTGCATCTTGGGCATATTTATTTATTTATTTTTTATATCTCCACCACTACAATTTTTTCCCTTTGATAAGGTCAAAATTCAGAGGTACCTTCAAGCAGCAAGTCAAATCTTCGGAATATTGATGACTAAACTGCGGCACACTTCTGGGATGTGTATTTAAAATGGTCACACAGGTATACAGTGTGTGTGTGTGTGTGTGTGTGTGTGTGTGTGTTTACATTCCTGCTCAGATTCTTGTTGTAGGCACTTCCTGTTTTTCTTCACATCCCTAAAGTGCACTCAGAGAATGGAACTTCCCAAACAGTCAAAACAACAACAACAACAACAACACAAAGTTAGCACTCTGCTGGAATTGCCTTCATTCACACAATATGCTCGAACTGGTTTAAATACGAATCAGATTTTCCTGGTCGTGATAAACCCTGTGTTTTAATGCCTCCGGGAGTCAGGGAGAGTTCATGGAAGCAAGCTCAGGAAAAGCGAGTTTCGCCATTTTGTTTAATGTTCAAGGTGGTGGAATACACACAACAGATTCCGAATACAAAAACGAAACGCTTCCGTTCAGTTCACGCTTCATTTTTGACAATGCATTTACTCTGGTTACTTTATTCATACATCAAGTCACCCATTGCTAGGAAATGCTTTATCCTGCTCGTAGTGTTTCCAGAGCGTATCCAAGGAATACTGCGTGTGAAAAGGGATGCTGGTGCATCTCGGGCCACAATTCACACAAATGTGCACACAAATTTAGAGGATATTGGCTCAGCCAATCCCCTTACCTGCATGTATTTTTGGGGAGAAAATCCAGACACGAACACGAGGAGAACGTAGAAATCTCTGGAGAGACAATAGCTCAGGATTGGACCAGGGACCCAGGAGCTACTTGGATCACGAGTCTCTCCTTATTCAGAATACAAATATCATTTTTAGGAGAATATTATTTTTAACACTTCACTAAATAAAGAAAAAACCCATGCAAGGAATAATGAGTCAGTGTCCCTCATTATCAGTGTATTATCAGAGACAATGAGCAGAAGCGATCAGATGGAACTCTCACAAAGAGGCTTGTTCGCCTGCAGTGTTCAAAGTTCAATGTCCTGTTCCCTCACAAGTGGTTCACTTCATGAAAATCGCTTCATGACTAAAAAGAAAACAACAACAAGGAAACAAAACAACAACTCAGTGCACATTTTGCTTTAGAAATAATTTCCAGTCCAGCCATTTTGTGTTGTTATCACACATATATATTTTAATGAAATGAAAGATCCTTCAGTGAAATTTGGGCGGTTGATGGGCATATCAAATACTAATAAACTTTTAACTTAATTTGTTTCTAGGATTTCTACTTCACTTGTGTTGTCAAATTGCTCTGTAATATTTGTGTGGCAGCCTGAAGCATGGGGAAATTTTGACATTTCTACTATATGTTCATTCTGAAAATTCCAGCACTGCAGACATATTGAATCTGAGCGCCGGAGATTGAAGCTTCAGAATAGTAAAACTCACAAAAATGACCGAGGACCAGACCTGTTGCTGGTTACAGCCAGTGTCTTGTCACGGCATGCATAATCTTTCAATATATTTTAAATAACCACATTCACAAACAAACTCTAATGGGCATTGACGTAGACACCACATGACACAGAAAAAGAACAAGTGACGCGTGACAGCTCACTGATATCACACACAGTCTGTACCGCTTCAACAATACAGTCAAAGTGTCAGAACGACGGTGAGAGGAATCTTGGGACAAATCGTTTTTTGTTTTTTTTTTCTCAACCAAGCTGCTTTTATGTGGTTCTCTATTAACCAATTAGCAAAATATGCACACTTCTGCTACGAACATCTGTGCAAGCACTATTAATGTCATCTAATTATACATATCAGCCTGCAGAAATTGTTATCTCCAA